TACAGTAGAACCTCGATTATCCGGACTAATTGGGGATGAAGGTAGTCCGGATAAGGAAAAATCCGGATAATCGAAACAAATACTTTAATTTGTCTTTTAATGATAATACAACACGTTTTCTTTTCGATGACATATCGGTAATATTAAAAATAAATACTATATTTAAATTGTGATCAAATGTTTGTATTGAATTTGGACTACTACTGACCTGTGCTAACAGACTACCTATTGTTTAAAAGGCCCTCTGGTGGGGCAAGAAGATGGATTTTATAAAATAAAAAGCAGTTTAAACTGCATTTTTATGGATAAAAATTTGACAAACTATTGTTTTATGATGAGTAAAATTTTTTCATCACGTTCACGGCTTTTAAGTAATGCATAAACCTTCAAGGCGCGAGGCATAGGTGGTGGCCCACGTCATCCATGCCTTACGCCGCCTTTAGTCATAGAAATGATGTAATTTGAATATAAATTATTTATAAATACGTATGTCAAGTTATATTTTTATTATGACGTAAAATATATTTAAGAGTTTTCGACCACTGTGTCGGGTGAGACATTGTTGAAACAAAAAAAAATTATGCATTCCATCACGTACATAAATAGTGTCGTAATTTGCCAAGTGCAAATCAACAAATTCGTAAAATTTTTGTGTATTTTGAACAATCCGGATAATCGAGGTTCTACTATATATATTGAATTAAATTAATATTAATTTGATATTTTAATTTTATCGGTACTTTTTAAATTACTTCCTTGTAATACCTCTTCCTCTTTAAATGCTACTGTTTTGTGAGCCATAAGATGTCTCTATTTCTGCCCCTCTGGTTCCCATCCAACGATGCAGCAATGAAATGGTAAGACAGGGCCAACACATCTCTACATCAAACTATTCATGATAACAAGAGGATTTGAGTAGGACTTGAACCAAGGTCCTTAGAATAGTTTGCTAGTTTGAGGAATCCAGATCTTTTTTTATATTTAGTTAATTTTGGAATTTATTATAAATATTTATCTCTGGATGTAGCCCATTGGTGATCAATGAATAAAACCAATAAATACTGATAGTTGGTCGGGATTTGTGCCTCCCAACAAATGGCTGTTTGGAGTATACGAGAATTTCCCTTTCTTTTGCTTGAAGTCTCTAATAATTAAATAGAGACCATTTTCCCACTAAATTTCTTCCTAGGAGGAATATCCCACTTTGTCAGATAAAGAAATTTTCAACAGTAAACACATTATGTAAAGTAGACACAACAATAATTATCAACATAGTTACAGATTGTGCCTACTTATAATAGGCTTAATTGTGATCAAACATGCAATTGATAATGCACAAGTGCTTTTCATTAATTGAAAATTATCTACTTTAATTAAGCTTTACTAGAGAATAAATCAAAAGTAATAAATACATTTTGTTGTTTTAATGGCAATTGTATGCTTTATACTCAAGTTTATATAAGTTTAAATAATTACATTTTTATATTTTGTTATTTTATATACTGAAAGTTAAATTGATACTAGATATATTCTATTTTAATTGAATGACCATTCAATAGAAGGATTGGATTGCTAAATTTCACTAGGTTGTAATTAGCGTTATAGTAATTGATTGATTTTAGTTTACTTAGAAGTTGTCTGCATATAAAAAAAATCACTACAGTGCTATTAACATTTTTCATATTTTTAAGGTCAATGTGAAAATTCTCAATAGATTTCTAGTATCCTTGGTTTAAAGAGTTTTATTAATTACATAATTATACAATATAATAATAAATTTTAAAATTATTGAAGTGAGCATGCAGTTAATTTCTTTACATCTATATTTGTAAGTGTTCTCTGTGTAATGTCATTAGATTGCAATTTATTGCAAATCTTTTCCTACGTGAGATCATTAAAAGTTTTCTATAATTTATTTTATTTTATGTATTGTGCAAAAAGTTTTATTGCATAAAAGAACCATACAATCTCTTGAATTCGAGTCAATTTCATGTAGGTGTAATTTCTCCTTCTAACCAGTACGTTGTCATTATTCCTTTACCCTGAAAATGTGAAATAAAACATTACCCTATGTTTCTAACAATAAAATGTGTGCTATAAGTTATATTTTAACATTATTACTTTTATCTCAATGTCTCCCCTCTTCGAAATTCGAAATGTTCCAAAAGTATCCAAAATCTTTTTCATATGTTCACTTATATGGATTTTCAAAGCTAAAGTAGCCCATCTTAAATTAATTTTACATTCTTGTTGAAAAGTTTTAAGAATACACTACATACCTTCTCCTGTAGATTCCATTCTGGATGCAGTGTTGACAGTATCACCGAATAAACAGTATTTAGGCATTTTTAAACCCACCACTCCAGCAACACACGGGCCTGTGGATAATATAAACAAAATAACTTTGTAAATATAGAATGATCTATTCGGGTATTTGGATTCATGCCATAATTTAGAGATTAATACGTTTAGTTTCATAATTTGTGGAGTGTATTGCAATTACCTGAATGGGCTCCTATTCGTAGTTTCATTTTCCTCTCGGGCTTATGTCTAATTTTAAAGTTTTTTAATGTCTGAATTAGAGCTAACGACATACGGGCAATTTCACTAGCGTGTTCGTCTCCAATTTTTATTGGAAGACCAGAAGCAACCATATAAGCATCACCGATGGTTTCCACCTAAAAACAAATTTTTATCCATATGCTTCTTACAATTTATTTTAGCAGATCTCTGTGTACTTAACTTACTTTATACACGTTATACAGATCGATTGTGGCATCAAAACAGGTGTAAAGATCATTCAAGAGATCTACCACCTAGAAGATTTTTAATATAATCATTCTTATGAACTCTTATAAGCAAAGAAAGGAAAAGTTTTAACAACTACTAACTTGCATAGGCGTACTCTCTGCACAGAGAGAAGTAAATCCCACAATATCACTGAAGAAAATGGTAACAGAATCGTATACTTCTGGCTTAACATGGTTCCCTTTTTTAAGTTCTTCAGCAATGAATCTAAAATACGCAATAAAAATTATAAGTTTGTACAATACTTAAGCTTACTTTGATATTTCATAAAGCTAGATGAGATGATTAATGTTTAAATTAGCAATGGAATATGCAAGAAGTTTTAAATCATCCAAGAAGAGTTGAATATTTTCTTTGATAACTGCATTGATCATCCCTCCAGACTTTCTCTCTCAATTTTTAAAGTAGTCAGACTAACTTTGGAAGAAGCTGATAGAGTAATTCATCCGTTTTCTTCTTTTCGTCATAAAGAGATTGAGTTTTCTCCTCCACTAATTGCTCCAAATTGTTGGCATATTGTTCCATTCGCAACAATAAATTATCCAAAAAGTTGTGACTTGATATTCCTCTGAAAATAATCATTAATTTAATTTAATCAAGTTTTATACGAATTCATTAAATAATAACAACAAACTTTGTAATTTTTTTAATTTTCGATTTAATTTCCGGAAAAGTAGGTCTTTCTGCAGGATTTTCTGCCCAGCATAATTTAATCAGTTTAACGAGATCGGGTTGACAATCACTAGGATCCATCTCGGGTCTGTACGGTGGCATGGTTCCTAATTTGATTTTATCTAATATTTCTGAAAGTACAATAAAGTTAACGTTAAGCTGTAAGAAGAAAAGTTCTTACTTCCATTAACATCTCTAACCTTCAGGTTCCAGTATTCTTCTCGATTTGTTCTGTGTATCACCATATTCGAAAGGTCCATTGCGTGTTATTACCTCTTGAAGAATAATAGCAAAGCTGTAAACATCCCCTTTTTTGGAAGCTTTATAGTTTTTATCCCTCAGGTGTTCTGGTGCAGTCCAAAAGTAACTTCCTAGTTAATAAAGTAGGAAGACATTTACAGTTGATATGGATATATTCTTTCGGTTTTCAGTGATTATCGCAGGTTGCTCTATCGAAAATTGTTCTTACTTGGATTAATTACTTCTGAATGAATTTGGCTGTATAGAGATACCATCCCAAATTCAGAAAGTTTAACCATAAATCTTCCATCGATGAGACAATTACTGGATTTCAATTTACCATGAAATTGAAAATCACTGTTATGTAGAAATGTCATTCCCTATAAAAATTTTCGATTAGTGGAAGACATTCTCAAACATTACATACATCCATATAATAAGAAGCTAAGTAAATAGGCAATAGTAAGCAAGGAAGTCATTGGTCCTCCAGAAACATTCTTAGATTCCACTTACCTCAACAATGTCTGTTATTATAGAGTAGCGGCATATCCAATCCATGTTCATTGCATCATTAGCTAACATATCCTTAGAAATTTGAAATTATATGTTACTATAGTTTTTATCGCATATGTTAAGTTTAAATATGAAATTTTACCATTAATGTTCCTCTGGGGCAGTGTTCGGTGAAGATAGAAATGTTGGGTTCATCAATACACAGCCCAATAAAGCGAGTTAAATTTTCGTGAGTAACATCCCTCATCTGATAAAGTCAGTAAGAACAATTATCTAACTGGTAACGATGATATTCGATGCATTCTTACCTGCTTCAAATCCATCAATACTGCTCTATTAATATGCAATCTCTTGATATCCAACATCTTAATTGCAACCTTAATACCCTATAATGTAATTTTAGTTTAATATATTCTTACGCAAATCGAAGGTAAAATGAATATCACGTACTTTATACAGTCCAAGCTTCATACCACTAGCTGCCATTTCGTGAAATATGCTCAGAGAAGTAGAGGGCCTCTAAAAGAAAATTTTCAAGATAAAAGAATTTACTCTTGTCTATTAATTAACGCTTACCGTTGAATTACTTGAAACGCCATCGTCGCTGAAACGTAAACTGGCCATAGATTTTCGCATTAAATTCTCTGGAAATATTACGTCCTCCCAATGAATTTTCCACCATTGATCCGTCAAATCGTTCTCCAAAACCATTTTTCTGTATATTTACAGTAAAATTGTAATTTTTCGCATTTATCGTCATTCAAATGATGTATGGTAAATCACCTGTACAAAAATATTCCACTGGCAACAAATATCAGGATGCTACATGCTAGAAAGACGATTATCCACAACGGAAATTTTGCATTTTCTAAAAAAATACGAAAAATATTGAAAATTTAATTTTAGGCACGGAACATTTGGACGCGAACAAATTGTAATGTTAGCTTTTCGGCAGTAGTCATAGTTCGAATGCGTTAAGCACATCAAGCAATAAATGTTTCAGATAATGCCAAACTATTATTTTCATGGAAAAGGAGTGGTACTATGTTATAGTAATGACCGAATGGTCGATGGATTAATTAAAGGCTGCAGACTACAGTCTGGGATGTGTCGAAAAGTCCCAGGAGTTTTTCGGAAGTCTTTTTGGCATAATGGGCTTACTAAAAAAGGCTTTCTTAGTGAACCTACACATATTATTTAGTTCATTTCAAAGGAAAGGAATGACAAATAAGCATATAATGTTTTATTGTAATGTATATAATGCTCTTTTGATTAAACGTAACACTTTTGACGGTAAAAACATTAATTATTTACACTGATGAGTCCGAGAATTCGTTTTAACAAACAGTTACAAGGCTGGTCAAGCGCCAACACTTTTATATATTACTCCAGAAAATTGCAAACTTCCACCTTTTTAAATATTTGCATGCAATGATGCGATTGGCGCACCAGCATTGTACATGTGAAAACATTTTTTGCAAGTGCCAGAAAATCCAAGGTTTAGTGTTATCCATCTCACCATCTTCGAGAAACTTGATTATATCTGCACTAACTTTTTCGAATGACTTTATAAAGTAATTATGTGACTTTACAATTATCTCCTTGAATTTACAGGATATTTTACTCTAAAATTCCTCGGTAGGATTGAAGTATTAATGAGATAAGCCAACGCGACACATGGGCGATCCAAAGAGGTGTCACCAGGCAAGGCACTTTTTTGGCAGATAACCCATATGTTGCTTTTCACGGAAAACAAACTCCTATTTAGGTGTTACTAACGTGGCCAGCTTGTTTGTGAGCGCTTGAACCCGTGACTGACTATCAGTGTTCTGCAGTGTTATCCGCTCCACCATTATAAGGCTTTAACAACGCATATGACTAAGAAATTATTATCTTAATTTTACAGTAATATTTTTAGTTCAAGAGCCTAAAATATTGAAAAATTAATGACAAATCAAAGATTCACCTGGTTGGCATTGGGGAGCGTTTCCTAAAAAACCGCATTCGGGCACATCGGGAGGTGATCCGATGATATTTCCTGGCCAGTGAATCCTGATGCCCCTTAACATTTCGTATTTTCTTCTAGCACCAAAATATGTTGCTACAGGCTGCAAAATTGATTACTGTTTTCAGCAAGTACCGATACGAAATTAATGAAATTAATCAGTAGAAATTACCATCATTATTCCTGTTTCAGGATCCAGATCGTTAAGAGTATAATCCGCTTCTCTGTCGCCGTTTTCGTTGATATATATGTCACCTGTCAGACCTACTGAGGGACATATTTTTTGGAAAACATAATAATTATTAGTATAAATTAAGTTCTATTTACGATCCAGAACCATCTTTCAAACTGAAGGTGGCATGTTAATATAGAGTAACTGAAGAATTGTGATTTAATATATTTAATTAACACTACTGTGTTAGAACCCCAAGAGGAGTTATGTTGATCTTTCTTTATTCTATTATAGACAAAGCATGGCGAATGAGTTAGGCGAAACGAATTGGTTATTTTAATGGTGGAGACTCACAATCAGCGTGAAATTGCATAAAAGTTTAACAGGTTGCAATCACACTTCCTACTAATCATACTAGCTAGCAGGATAGTGCCTGTTAAAGAAGTTTGGAACTTCATGCTAACTGCAGGGCTCCAGCGTTAAGATAATATAATTTCGTTTCGTTTTACTTAGCACCTTACTTACTGTAGAGGAATAAACAAAGATTAATTCTGTATACACTCAGTGCTGGATTCAACTTCAAAGGAGACCCAAGCAATTTAAAAAATAAAAAAATGAGGGTTTTTTGATGGGATCCCTCTCTGAGTGGAGGGTCTCAAACAATTTGTTTCACTTCTTGGTAAATCCGCCACTGTATACGCTGTATACAGATTATAAAATTATATTGGTAAATTTAATGAAAATATTCTTTGTACTATTTAAATATCTTGTATAAAGCAATATCTAGATAATACCTCCAACAAAAGTTGAATTCCACAATCGGCGAACCATTGTATACCCATCAGCAGGATCTTCCCCTTCTTCTAGTGTCTTGTTTAAGACCCAAGCGTACATCATAACGCAGTCATAAAATGCAGCCACTATCGGATTCATCTGAAAAAATTACGTATTAAACGATAAAATAATTTAAATATGAGTTATAAATACTCGTGTAAACATAATTCATACCATATCTTCATCGATTGGATTTTTATACTTTTCAGGATTCGATTTTGAAGCTTGAATGATATTACTAACAAATGAAGTGTATTGCAAGCTAGTAGGAACTCTAATGGATATGATCATCAAGGCCTCGTATATCTTCCGAGCATCCTAGAATCATATAGATAAGATATCGAATAATTAATTTACCATAACAAATGGTATTCTTACCTTATTTCTTGTGTCGCCTCTTCTGTACCAAGAGAAGTCACCCTTCTTCAGGTTGTTCTTTAACAGTTCGTACGTAAAGAAGACGTATTCGCCATTGGCCATACCCAGATCAAAAGCTTTCAGCAAAATATTACGAAGCGAATCTCCCCCAGTGATGATAAGGAAGACTGAAACAACAATGGTGCCTATGAATTTGCCATTTGTTTTAGTCTATAAATAAAAGAAGCTCTCTCATACCTCTGGCTTCCTTGCTACCCTCTCTCAGGAGATCGCCGATATTGGAATTATCGCTTGTATATTCTTTAACTGTTAAAAAAATTCCTGGTTTGTACTTCAGAATCTTTAAAACACTAGTCTTGATCAAAGTGTTACTAAGATCCGATTCGTCCATCATGATGTATACATGATGCCAATCGAATCGTTCTAGGATCAAAGAGAACCACTCCGCCGCTCGGTCTAAAGAAAATGTCATCCTGGTTAGAGTAGAAAACACATCTTTGTCAGAAAAAGCTACATCTATGCCACCAGCGGTGTAGATGGGAATATTCCAATACGAAGCCATTCTTCCAACTGGATCCAAAGCCAAACTGCAAGCGGGGCCAACGAAGGCGGTCACCTTTCGTAAATAGTATTCTTCGGCAGCGAATACCCCAGCATAGTTAGCGGTGCAACGAGAACTATTGTTTCTGAACACTATATCAAATTTGATATTAGGAAATCTTCTGTTAGCATCTTTTCCGGCCGTTTCGATTACTAGTTGCACCACGTCCAGAGAAAGAGGAAGTTCGGGTTCTGAAACGAAAATGCTAACAATTCGGGCTTCGTATATGTATTGTGAGCCTACAGAAGAGATGGTAATGGATAAGAGAGTCACAGTTGTTAGATACATCTCGATATCATTTGTCCAACTGACAATTCTCTCCTTATATATCGATCTCTTTAATGACATCTGTCGTGGGACTTCTCGCGTGTTTTTCTCCTTTTTTTTTCTTCTGGAAGTTAAAAAAACTTTATCACTTCTCGGAATATAATAGGGCATTGATTAATTGAAATATTGCATTGTTATTGAGGTGTATGAATTAATAAATGTTTGTTGTCTTCTTGTATTTTGAGGAAAAACTACATATATTTAAGAAATAATAAACACTATTTTTTTTAAAATAAAATAAAATACACTTTAATTTTAAATCCTCGTATATAAATCAAGTAACTATCTAAAGAAGGAACAAATTAAATCCCAAATGAAAATCTTTCTGATAGTGAATAAATCCAGAGCAAGGATGACTATTAACAGGCCGGATGCATGGAATTTTTTGGGGTTTTTTGTAAATATGTAACACACGAATAAGAACGAATTTCCAGAAGAAAGTCCTTCTGGGTAGGACCTAGCGGCAGATAACTAATTTGTATGTTTGTTTTACTAAATTACGGCAACGCAACACTTGGGCGATCTGCTTAGGGGATGTATTTCAGGAGGTCTTTTTAAGGGTAACTGGCGTGGAGAAAACCCGGTAAACACCACGTAGCCAGCCCGTTCGAGCAAGGCGCGAACCCGCGACCATACTCCCAGTGTTTACGATACGAAGACCGCTTAGCCAATGGTGGGTCCCGCGCTTAAGAGGATGCAGCATAATAATGTTTTATAATTAAAATGTAAAAACTTGTATTTCAACGTAAACACTTAATTTCAAAGTATAATTGTAAGGTACACTGGAAAAATCTCACGAATCTTAATTTCTTAATTCTACAACTACGCTTGTAATTAATATTATGTTCTACAAAAGGAATAACTGTTTAATGTATAAATTCAAGTATATTTGTACTTATTAGTGTTCTATTAGTAGTTTTTTTTAAATAAAAAAATAATTACCTTAAAAATAATCAAAATAATAATAAAGAAAAAATATTTTTATAATGTATAAATTATAAGTTGGCCGTATGTAACCTACCGACAAAACCAGGCGCCAAGTCAGATTGTTGTAGTTAGCATAGCATAGAACATTTATACACTTGAGCATATTGTAAGCTAATAAATATTTTAATTGAACAGATTTATGCTGCTTAATCGTACTTTTTTTTTTAATTTACTAAAGTATTTTGATTTAACTTCTGTCAGCACTCCAGCAGAGAAAACCATTGTTATATTGATAATAATTATAATACTTGGGATTGGAACTTTACTGACACAAGTAAGTTTTTCAAATTTATTTTTTAATCTCTAATTTTCTATTTATTTTTCTATTTCAAGTTTTATTTTCTACTTTTTCTAAGATTTAGAACATTAGCAATGAGTACGAGTAGAGATGGTGATAAAAAGATAATCTTTTTAAAATATTTTAAAACTGATAACGAAGAAAACAATTTGGCTTTAGTGTACAAACTAAAGAAGTGTTACAAATTACATACAAAGAACTACTTCATTATTGAATGAGCTATAAATGATGAATAAGATCAAGAGAAAAGGCGTACAAGCTAGGATTATTTCTTAGTAATAATAGATCAAGCCATACCTTCATTACAAGAAAGATTTGAACAAATTGAAAATCATATTAATCTATTAAGAACAACTTAAAAAGTTTTTCATAGATTTAGATTTAAAATTAAGACAAAATGATAATGGTGATATACATGAAGCCGGTTTATACGAAGAAATTAACACTTTATTATCACATAAAAGCAATTATTCTCTTATTTTTACAAGATATTTATTTATTTAAAGAAGTTTTATAAGAAGTCTTTAGGACGTTAAGGTTAGCAAGTTCGATCAAAACCCATCTAACACGGATCGCTTTTCAAATTTTAATATAGACGAATATTAATATTTATTATATTATAGTATTTGATATATATAACTACAAAGGTTTTCTTACGTAAGGGTTTATCACACCGAATGACCGATCTAACACATTTTGAAAATTCTTTATTCTTCTGTACACAATTTAAAGAATTTTTAAAATTGGGCACTGTGTGATAAACTTTTCATCATAGCATTTCTTTCTAAACAGTTTTACTGTATACTTTTAGCCTAGTCGAGTAACTGCTAATAAAGTACTTAAATTTAAACTTTAGGAGCATAAATTACGCGAGATTTAAAAGATACGAGTGAGGGATTCGAAAGAAAATCGAATAAAATCATCGAGTGGCATTCCATAGAGGTTAGTGCGAAGTAGTAAATGTCTTCTATACAAACAGAATCTGACAAGAAGAACAAATGACTTCGTAGCGTGTTGCGATTAGTTAGAGTTTCAGCTTTAACTTTCTTCGTGAACTTTAGTGCATTCGAAAATATCGCAGACAAACTTATTTGTTATGAATGTCGTAATCTATTAAAATTCATAGTTTTTGCTTATTAGTTAAGTTTATAAAGCCCTAAATAATTTATGATTAATTGATTTGATAGTGTGTTTACTAATAAAAATTATTGTTATATTTTTTAATGGGAATGTAATTAATTTAATGTAAAGTTTTGATTATCATTTATAAAGTGTGGTGATAATTGTTACAACAATTTAGTTGTTAAAAATAAATTGATTATCTTCAACAATTGAAGCGAATTGCAAAAGATTGGATTGGGTAATGTATTAATGGGCGATCTGCTACAGTGTTAGATGTTATCGTAAGGAGTTTGTGTGGGTAGTATAAGGAAAGTGACGACTATTTTTATGTTAGACACGTGATGAAAATCCGGAAATTCCACATGCGAACTTGCGACCAATTACCAGTATTAATAGTTTTATCCACTCGGACACTGAAAAAATACAGAAAAATAAAAAATTATTCTTATCTTTATTAATTAAGACAGTTATTAATAATGATCAATAACAATTCTGTAAATAATGTTATTGCTATAGACACTGTCTTCGTGGCTGGCAGTTTGCAACGTGTCCTGGAGAAACCACACTTCTTAAGTGTTCCTATAAATGAAACTTTTTCTTCGTCACTTGAAGCGTTTCAGCCCTCAAAGAAATCATTGGAAAGATTAGAGGAGAGGAAAGCTGAAAAAATATGAACGATCCTCTCTTTCTTAGTCAATACTATAAGGCCTATTAGCTACAGTCTTAGTGTAAAAAGAATACAAATACGTAAAGCAAATTACAATTATAAAGATGGTAGTCGTGAATTCTCGTAAAGATGAAGACTGAATGACTGAGGCAGTTAAGATATTAGTTTACTGCTCTGAGGGATACGGGATCGAGCAACTTCAGAAATATTTTGTGGGCAGTCAACGCGTCCCTTTTCATCCTATTACCCTCATTGTTGGCTCGATTGTCTTTACAATAAAATGCCGTCTTAGTGCTCACAGTACAGAAGGATCCAAAAATTTAAAAAATCTGCGTACGGGATATTTTAACGTTGTTATATAAGAAAAATGTGTTTTTAGTTAACAATATCGTATTGTGTGCAATATTTCATCCGTAAAAACTGAAGGAAACGATCCTAACGAGTTTCATATCGATCGACGTCATCCGGAAATAATCGTGGAAAGATAATCAAGAGGAAAAACTCCCCCAATTATGTCCGTGCTATAAATCAAATCAAGAGTTTTATCGATGGAAAATAAATTAAAAATATATAATAAAATTATTTATTGTTATATTTATTACATTACAATTAATTATACAATAATTTATAGGATATTTATACACATAGGTCTTTCATGGAGACCGCTCGCTTTATAACCCCAATTACATACGGTTGTATGTAAATTTTATATTATAATAATATATAATGTACTGTAATTTATTTATTTGTGTGATATTATATTGATAAAACGTTATTGGTAGGGACGTAATCTCAATTTATTAGTTTATTATATGGGTCATTTTACGACGAGCTTCTGAAAAGCAATTGACTACGTGAGTCTACTAGACTTATGTTTCGAATGAATACATAAAATTTTAGAATAAAGAAAATAATTCTTAAAATTCTGCATAGAATATTTCTGTATCGTTATAAACATAACCAAATTATCTGTAAAATTAAACACAGACTGTATGATTAAAAACTAACTTAGTTACATGGGGGTTCCAGATTCAAATTCATTTTGGTTCCTCTTAATTATCACAGATATACAAATTAATACACGGATCTACTATTTTTGCCATATTGGCCGATGTATTGCAAGTTAGGATATAATGGGTGTTGTAACCTGCTTACAGTATGCTTTAATTTACTCATTTAATGATTAAATTAAAGCATATTGCACGACCATGTTCATTATACTCTAATAACATATAAGTTTTCGCTACCAGAACAATGTTAGAATCGGATCTTTAGAATAAAATCTTTAAAATTTGAATTAAAAATTTATAATTTCTATATATTTATATAAATTACGTAGTTTAGTCATAAATGTCCTCGCAGTTAATTTTTGGTATTCGCGCGGTTTGGTCCGGAAACAAGTGGGTTGCACTTCCACACCATTTTTCTTTAGAGCTGTAAATAAAATAAAATACATAAATTAAATGTTTGATGTGGAAATTTGATGCAAGTTACACCGCGAATCGATCTCTCTTTGATTATTAGTTGGACAAATGGTTTGGTTTTATTCGTTTACGCACTTGGACAATCTTCTAAGGAAGAATGCCTTTGGGGAGGTCATTTATGGAAACTGGCCCCTATTGAAAGAAACTCAACACGAATCCCGTTGGCGGTGCGTAAACCCACGACAACTACCAGTATTCTGTGGTTTTATCACTCGGCTATTGGTGGGCCTTCGACAAATGACTTTCATTAAAGAAACGCTTGAAAATGGATATTATTCAATTGAATCACAACACAACACTTGTGCGATTCAATTGAGTAACAATTGAGTCGCAATTGACAAGAGGGTGCCTCCTGGAAGGACTTTCTATGAGAAACCGACTCCTAATTACTTGTTAGACACGGAATAAACCTCGGCTAATTCCACATGATGAGGTGCGACCTGTCCACATATCAGTATTTGCTAGTTTTACCCACTCGGCCACTGGTGAGTACTGAAAATGTTTATTCTGGATTCCTCGGTTTTACGACATTAAAATTCGTCATTCTCATATTTCTTACGTTTTTAGTATCATAAGAATAGATTACATTTCTTTTAATATACAAATTCAACTATATAACATTGCACAGAGGGCAAAATGGCATTGCATACAATCATAGAAAATTTAAACAAGTCATAAACCGAGGGCTATTACTGTACTTTGTTTTTTTATTTGTTAAAATTACCTTTTGTTTCCTATTGTAATTGGAGTGAGTATGAAATATTTTACTCGAAGATAATTTGTGTTCTTTCCTATGTTTAAGATATTCGTATGTTCTTTTGGCCAACTTAACCATACATGATGAACACGTTCCAAGCGTGTCTGGAGAGTCATAAGGAAGGTGTAAGTGAATTTTGGAAAATGGCCATCTCTAAAGAACGGAATAAATTATTTATTTTTTTAAAATTATATTATTTAATATGTAAAACAGAATTTAAAACGTGAAATTGTTTATATATTTGAAGATATGAAAAATAATTAACCTTACTTTGTCAAAAAAAGCATGGATTCCTTCCTCTGGTTCAAAGCTTGAATGGTCATGAGAAGTTGTTGATTATATGCTAGTTTTTTAGATAATCCTTCTAATTCCATGACAATTTGATATTGAAACACTAAAATTCATTTAAAAATATATTTTTAAAAATCATATATAACATCTTTATTTAAAATTTTACATGTACAGTTTGAGGGAGGGAGGAAGTTGCGAAAAATACATCCTTCTACACGATGGGATGAAATGGGTCGAGGTATTGTCAGCGGGCCTCTTTTTAATGGCATGAAAATTTGTTCTTGTAAGCCATATGAATAATCTACCAGATAGAAAATATTTCTAAATTTGTACACTTAATCAAAAGGGGTTTCTAAAAGTACATCACTGTATACAACAGGGAAAGAGGGCGTGAAAAGTGACTCAAAAATGTATATGAATTAATCGAAAACTAATATTGTAAAATTCAATTTATTTATAAAAGTATTATGTTGAATACTTACGACAATAAGGGGACTCGCTTCCGGTCTTGAGGTACAAAATTTGTGAAAAGTTCTTTCGAATATGCATGTCGACGTTCAAACCCATAGGAAAGCATGGATTATCTTCAGAGCACACGCATTTACCACTGACAAAATCGTTATAATTACCACAGGGAACACCGACGAAACAGTCAGGATACTTGATGGATGCGATGAAATATTCGAAACTCCGAAAATGATTGCAGAAAATTACACTTAAGAAAACTAAAAATAACATATATTTGATAAAAATAATAATAATTAAGTCTGTTTTCTACTACAGTTGTCCCTTGATAATCCGACAGGTATGGGACCAAAGGTGTGTCAGATTACCAAAAGTGTCCGGATTACCGAAAATAATTACATATTTCGCATTGTTTTGCTAGCAGTAACTTACAATATTCTCTACTCCAACTGTTCGAACAGAACTGCTCACATAAAACACACGAAATGTGTGTCATCGAGTAAGAATTGGATGGGGAGATTCACATCGCGACATGTTTCTGTGCAAGCAGACACGTAACGGGGACGGGTACCTTGACGGGAGGTGCGTCGGACTACTGAGCATGTCGGATTAAAAAACGTCGGACTATAGAGGGACAACTGTAATTTTGTTTTTATTTAAGCCATTTTTCTTGTGTTTCAGTCTTTGATATTTAAATCATAATATGATAAGATAATTTTTAACGCATTAATAAGTTAAATATTTAAAAAAATACATCAAGCATGAGTAGTTAATACGATGAATTTAATTGTTTCTATTAGCATTCATTTAGAGTTATTAGATTTTATCCGTATTTAATGAGTTATATCTGCATCACGACAATTCATATCCATACATACGAAAGGTTCTGTGAATAGACGTAGTTCATTGTCACGGATATGGATGTTGATATGATGTTTCATTAGAGATAATAAGGAAATATTATCTTCAAAAGAAATGAAATTTATTTAACTTACGATCATATAAATTAATCGCTTTTATCTTTGGGAATATTTTACATCCAGGATTATAATTTCCTCCGTTTGGATAAAAGTCCAAGTGACCAACTGCTTCGCTTGTGCCAAGTCCTGTAATAGAAATTGTTACATTGTACGAGAGATCGAGATCAACAGAAATTGTTTCTGCTAGATAACCGAGTGAGCACCTACGCGATGGCCTGAAATCAACCAGACTAGTTTAACGTGCTGCAGAAACTGTTGAAACTGTAAGGGACAAGAGTCGAGACTGTCCGATTGCGGAAACATGAGGGATGTTTGCTATGTGAGTAATAGTTACAAATGTTGCGATTTGACAAAACGTAACAGGAGCCTACATGCAGCACAATTTCTTCACAACTTATACTCAGCTGGAGTATTGCATAATGTGCTGACTGAGAATCTTACAAGTGTCATCTAAAAAGTTAAACAAGACCCCTGAAATTGGTTTACCACTTCCTGTTTTCATGCTTGATCCAATTTGGCTGAAGTTCATACTGCAAATTTAGTAAATGAATGCCATTTAACAATAAACTTCAGAAATTTTTCATGGAAATTTAAGTTTTCCGTTACTTATTGAAAATATCGATTTATGCTGGTCCCAGAAATAGTACTCTTTTCAACCGATCGTCATACTTTTTCTCTATTATATATAACAGCCGGGAAAGTAATAATAGAAACTCTGCTACATAAAACAATTAGTATCCCACCTTGTATGAAATATTGTCCAGCGTTAGTATGAATATTATCTACTAAGATGGCATCCTTTGCATCTAAACGTACTTCAGAAGAAACATCTCGAAAATAAGGGGCACCAACATCCAAGCCTGAAAATTCCAAAATTAAAATAATGTTTTCTTTTTCGAAATTTTCGAATTTTATTAGTGAAAATGCTTACCTGTTATCCTTCCCAAACTTTTTATCCTTTTGCCGGCATATCCTGCAATGTGAGCGCCTAAGCTGTGTCCTAAAATATGAAATGATTCTGGTCGAACGCCATTGATTTCTTGCAGACGTCGAATGAGGAATGCTATCTCTGCACCCACTACTTGGCAGTTGGCCACCGCTTGACGGAAGAATAAAAAAGAACCTAAGGGCCAATCTACTAAAATAACATTGAAGTCACCATTGCTGAGAAATTCATCTTTCATTCTCTGTAAAATCATTAATAGTGCCATCAGGAATTAATCATTTAAAAACCACGTGTTCAATTCCATGATAAAATCCTTAAATATACACATTTCAAGAATTTTTTTCAATTTTAGACGAAGTAACTTTCAATTTAATTACCTGCATCCAAGACGTAAAAAAGGAATTATCCATAAAACCGTGGACAATCATTTTAGTTGGCCATCTTGGATTATAATTGGACTTCTCAATGGTTTCCTGATGATCGGCCTTCAGGATTTCTCTATGGTCCCGATTTAATGGAGTGTATAATGAGAATATGGTAGGTATCAATTCTCTGTTTTTGGGTAGAAAACTGATCGGGCGATTGATGGGATGGAAAAATGGTGGTCCATTTCCAAAACACCCTAGATTTTTCATACATTTGATATTGCTGCCTACGTTAACTGAAAACAATCGAGACTTGACTTAAAGCTTTAATATTTATAAAATCCTTACAAAAAACTAAAAAGTGGATTTACTTATATAAGAGGTTTGCAAATAATACAAAATTTTGAATTATATAATAGGAACATTCACAAACTTCTCACGACACTCATAGATTTTGCTGAGAAATCAACTCTTTAATAAAAAGTTCAATATAATATTTTTTAAATAAAATTAATGTAATTTACTTATAAGACATATAAAAATCCGAGATATACTTCAAACATGCCTTATCGTAAAGATAAGGCCAGCAGAACCGCTTGGTCCTAACATCTATGGAAATATCACAGAGATTGTCATGAATTATTCATTCCATTGCATTTTGTAGTAAAGAAAACATGTTTCTTCCTCAACATACATTATTTAAAAAGCATAATTCAAGTTATTAACATATGTATAATATATCCAAGTAGGTCCTTAGCAACCTAAATGATTCGAGCTTCTCCAGACCTCTGAAGATCCCAGAATTCAAACGCCTAGTTTTGTGTATTGCAAAAATACAGTCTGTTGCAAAAATGTAGTAGAGGAACATCAATTTTGATACACTTTTTGATTAAATTAAAAATAAAAAAGAAAATAAATCCCAAATATGTCGGGCTCCGATCCTTACCACCTGTGCCACAATAAGACCATTGTCAGCCTGTACAATGGATAACATCAAAGAAAAAGCCTTCTAACGCCCCAGAGCGAAAAGAAAATAATTTAAATACATTTACTAAATGCTATAATATTGCTACTAGCTACTAAAATATTTTGAGTTCATTAACATCCGGAAGTATAAATACATTATATGTCAATGGCTATCCACACTTAATACAATAACATTCATAAAGACTAATATTCCTGTGTGAAATAGTTAATTATATTATATGTGTTATAATTTTAGAATGAAATTATTAAATCTGCTGTCAGTTTTCTCAATTATTCATAATTTAGTTATTAATTTAAGTATATAATTATAATACAGAAAAAACTCGAAAGTATTAACAATTTAAATAGGAGTTTTGGGTAAAAACAAGCACTATTTTTAATCATATTAATAAATTATTAATAAATTGAACATTGCTACTATTAAATGTAACGATTAGTTTAACTTATTTTTTAAATTAGGTTAATGTCATTGAACTTTTGAGCGCCTCCAGGTACAATACACTTTGAAATGTATAATTTAAGTAAAGAATTTATTATATTAGGAAAAGTGATAGTTACCTGTAACATGAATTCCTGGTTTATTTTTGAAGAAAAGTCTATTAATGCTGCAGTTTGATAGATGATGAATCCATAGTAAAAACAAAAAACAGAATAGAACTGGTAAGCATGGTGTTTGCATTCCCGACAGCAATTGTATCTGACAGTCTATAAGAGTGTTGACACAATTATCTCTTTCATTACATTCTTTCCGTTTATAAAATAGAGTTTCCTCTACGAAATGAAAGGAGAGTACACCCTTTTTTCTGGTTGGAGCCGTAAGAAACTTCCCTAATAAAACTGGAAGTAGAATGGTGTATGGAAAAATAAGTGTTAGTGCCACTGTTTGGAAATTGATATTACGAGTTCCGTACATACTACCGAACATGTTACGGTGTTCGTTAAACTTTATAGATAACAATATATTTGAATAAAACGGCAATTTAGCCCCTAAAATAGTTAAATGACTTCTGAGTATATAACTTATAGTTTATGAAATTTCAAACACTAAATTTCTGACTATTATAATTCTGTTTATTTATATGTATTATAGAACAATATTCCATACGTTTATATAACCGAATTTTTATGTCATTTTAACCAAATATATTAAAAGGAAAGTAAATTTCGCTTTCCAGGAACAAACTGTTTAACATTCTCGACATTTTCTAACAACGTGATAATTACTTTCCCTTTATTTATTCACGTAATCAATATAATATAATGTATTGTTTTAGAAATACAGTATAAAAGTTTTTCAGTTTTATTTTTAACTGTTCCTTCACGTGGGCAAGAATAGGGCCTGTTCGTGCCCATTTTCAATTTGACAAAGCCCACAATGAAGGAGGCCGAGTGATTAGAAATGATGCCCGACATGAAAAATCCTTGGGGCCCAAAGTCTGTCTATAGTCTATATGTGGAAAAAGAACATTCTGAATTAGAAGGTCCTTTTAATTCTTTAAGCAGCGACCTGTCTCCTCTATTATTCTTATAAAAGAAAGTAAAAATATTATATTCTTCTGTACACAAGTAGGCAAATATTATCTTAAACAACGCCCTCTAAATGTACAGTACATGTACTGTTCATTGATTTAGTCTTTTATAATATAAAATTTAACGATTGGTTAACTGTTTACTTTCCCTTTTCATTTAGGACATCCGATCGATCGGCGTCAGACTTGTTTCTCTCAAACTATACGAAGTACAGAGGTTTCGTACATCAGGTAAGTTGTCTGTACGTATACTGTCTTCACACCGAGATAAATATTAGAAAATTTATGTTATTTAGTTTTACTTTTTATATATTATATATATAATTAATCTGATAACTTATGTAAATGATATGTATAAAAATTGTAATATAATTAAGTAATTTTTTTTCTAAAATTAGCATTTTATTTATTTATTTATTTGTTGTTGTACTAACTTTTAATATAATAATAAACAATTAAAATACAGTGGAACCTCGGTATACGACCTTAATCCGTTCCTAATGTTTGGACTTATACCGAATAGGACGTATACCAAACCAACCTTTCCCATAAGAAGTAATTTAAAAATGATTAATCCGTTCTCATGAAAAAAAAAGCTGGCTTTAAACACCTCGCTTTCCTGGCTACTTCCTGCTTGATTTTTCATGAGATCAGCATGTATCTTTTTAGCTTTCTCGCAAATAATTGCTTCCGATACGATGTCGCCAGTACACTGTTTTTCAGTTATCCAAAGCAAAAGCAATTTCTCAACATGATCTAATGTCTTCGATATCTGTTTAGAAATTGATTTAACTCCTTTCGCAACGTAGCAGATTTAATAATGTCTTTATTTTTCCCGATTATTCTATATCGTCGTTCTCGGAATACGGAATGCAACAGTTAAAATCTCGAACACGCGTACCACCTTCATATTCTTCAACTTTTTTCAGTTGCATTGTGATTCTAATCATTTTTTTAGTTTTCTGTTCCTTTTCACTTGACTTTTTGCAATTCGTGATTAATAAAAATAATAAAATTTTACTTACAAATTAAAATCAGAAGTAATTTAACAAAGTTATAAACCGTGAAACCACGAACGTCTAGTCTGGTCTAGTACAACGATAGAGATACTTGTTCATAGATGGCGAGTATAATTGAATTAAGTCGTATACCGAACAAAAGTCGTATACCGAACAAAAGTCGTATACCGAACAAAAGTCGTATACCGAGCAAAATTTGTTTCGTCCAAACAGAACGTATTCTAAAGCAGACGTATACCGAGGTACCACTGCATATAGATTGGTTTCATTAAAAAAATAATTCATCCTGCTTGACATTAATATTAATATAGAAGAGGAGAACAATTTAATATACACAAATGTTTTAGTGTAATGAAATTAATATCATATTGCTTTTCGTTTCTTATTAATTTTTTATTTACGTCATTCATTTAATTATTTCTTAATTAAGGATTATTTAATATTAATGAATAACAGCGGGAGATAGGGCATTAATATAATTACAAGAAAATGTATCTGCATTAATTACATTGATAGATCCTTATTTGTATATGTAGTAAAGTAATATTTAACTTTGATAGGTAACACAGTTATACATAAACGTGTTAAAATAAACGCATAAAATACTTATTAGTGTATTAATATGTAGCTCCCTTATTAAAGATTAATGTTATTAATATATTGCTTGCTATAACTGTTTATCGATAATACGTTTAGAAATTAAGCCTATATTCAACTGTGTAACTAAATGTAACGTTTTATATATTATCATATTAATGCAAAATTATGTACGAGATGAAAGCTTGACAGAATTTCAGGAACTAAGTAACACCCTTACATAACCTGTCCCTTTCCATATCCTATATCTATGAGGCGTAACTTTAATAACTGATATTTAAAAACAGGCATTTAACCCGTCGTATACAAACTATTTCCAGCTTGTCTTTCAGAAGCAGATATCCGAAAATATAGTACTGAAAAGCCATTGTCTCCTTATCAAGGGTGTTGTAGCACAATCGCATTATTCATAAAATATGCTCTGGTGTTGATTTGAGCAGGTATGGATTTAATTTGTGGTTTGGTTTTATTCTTGCATGTCAACGTGATACATGGTGATCTGTCGGAGGAGATCATTAATCTGAAGCTGGTCCCTATTTAGTTATTACTAACATGAAGAAAATCATTGCCAGCCCTTTAGTTAGGCCATGACCAACTACCAATGTTCGAAAAAATGTGTCCATTTAATATGTTGTACTGTATATCCCTACAAATAAGCTTTACTGTAACATTAAAGCGTATCTTAACATTGATTAGTGTTAATTTTATGCACTGTACATTAAGTTGAAAGTTGGCAGTTGGGGTAAAATTAATTGAGGAGTGAATATTGCAAAAATCTGTGTATTCACTAAATATTATTACACTAATTTATGCATATATATTTTTTATTTTGTAGATAATACATAATAAAGAAAATAATATTTGTAACTAAATTAAAAATGAATTTCAACGTACGAGAAACTGGACGTCAAGAACTCGTTCGAAGGAAAATAGAAGAATGTTGGAAACCTTTACTTAACAGTTTGTACTTCTGTGGTCTGAATGTCGAAAAGAAAATTCTACCAATTACTGTAATTGTGCTAATTGGAGCGAGCTTCTATGTCGTTTATGACACGTGCCAACTAATATTCCTTATATGGAATTCGGCTAAAAAGATGAGAACAGCAGTAATACTTTATTCGACAATTGGAGAAATCATTTCTGTAATTATGTTCATTCATTTTTACGTTAAAAAAGCTGAAATTTTCAAATATGTCAGTCGAATTTTTTACATGTCAAATGGTGAACATTTTGTATCTATTAATAGATTATGGTTCAGAGTTATCTTTATCTGGTTTAATTCCTTTCTGTTTTATTTCATACCGTTTATTTTATACTTGAGTTACGATTTCGATAAGATTCCAATTCTGTGGCCATTGGAGGAACACAATCAATTTGGGATTTCAGAAAGTTCTGCAAGGATCATCTGCTGCATCTTTCACACTGTATATTCATTCGTTGTGGTTTCTCCGAAAAATTTTCAATTACTGTTTTTTGTGTATGTATGTAAAGAAATCAATTATGCTATTCGAACTTTATGCAATCAGGTAATGATTTCAGATTTAACACTGAAGGATCTCTCGAATATTATAAAATCATACGCGGAAATAATAGATATAACAAATAGTATTCAAGATATATATTCCCCAATCATGTTTCTCTGGTTAATTTTAATAGGAGGAAATGTTTTAATTGATCTTAGTATTTTTACTTCCACGCCATTCAGAATAGGGGATTTCACTTTTTTCGTAACTATAACTTGTTTTTTAGTTTATTTATTATTTGAAATTTGTTATTCTGCTTCACGTATCACAGAGACTGCAACAGAATTGGGAAGGATGTTTTACAAATTATCGATTTCACAAGAAGATTCAATTATTGAAGAAAAATGTTTTCGTTTTTCCATGAAATGTTTACAAGATTTGCCAGCTTTCCACGCTTGGAAAATATTACCTATGGACAATAGTGTTCTAATAACAATCGTTAGCGTTGGTTTCACTTACACACTCATCACTTATCAAGTAAGTACAGGTTTGTAAGCAATCATTTAATTAGTGGAAAGTTGTATAACATCCAAAGTATTTCTGACTGATGCTATACAAATTTATAGTTTCATCATAGCTCCTATTTTCCGCCGTGAACCATATAGAAGTATTTCTTTTTAGAATGGACATCTGATATATCTGGTTCCTCCATAACTTCCGCCAATAGTTATCGGAAGCCTTCTCAAATATTTTTGCCATCAAACACTGCAGCAGACGTTCGAATTAACGTTTGACCAGCTTAATTAATTAGTATGATCATAATTGAAATGATTTGTACTGCTTTGATCGTGATAAAAATGATCGTGATAAAAAGATAAAACATAAAATAGTTGTACTGTTTACAAGTCTAATAAATATCCATATATTCGGGTAACTATCATTGCATATTAATGATGAAAATAACTTTAATAGTGCTGTAAAAGTAAGAGCATTGTACAATATATTCTATCAGATATATGTACCGATACATTACACTTTCAATATACCAAGCACTAAACATTGGCTTAAAAATGGCACATAATTCAGCCTAGATTCTACAAGCCCTAATCCAGAAAGGGTACACTACTACGTCAATATGACGTTTTTTTCTAGCTTGATCATTGTTAAATCTGAAGAGATGACGTCAAACTTACATTAAAGTGTACACTTTTTGCACGTGACTAATTTTTATTAGGGAAAAAAATTAAATTTCTGGTATACCAATTTTAACTATACACGTCATCAAGCCCGTCTTTGGTACGTGCGAGGCCCTTGGCCAAGAAAATATTGGATATCCTAAAGGAATTCGTAATGGAGGGTTAATGTTCATAAATTTTTTCAATTAGCTTTCTATGCTAAACATATTGTTATATTTATTTTTAATAACATTAATCAGACATATCTTCTGATTGTTTACTGCTTATTATAATTTTATTGCTTGTTGCTCTGTTCAAATTTTCATCTTTTTGCGGTCTCGAATGTTAGGAGGCCTCTGGGCCCAGGCCCGGTAGGCCACATATAAAGATGGGCCTGCACGTTTATCCTGATTTTACCATTTTGATCATCAATTAAAAAAATATCGAGAGATTGCATTACTTGATTATACAAGAAAATTTCTATAGATGAAATACGTTTTGCTTATACATATGTCATGCTGAAAGCCACGAGAAACATTTTTTTTATAAATCACAATCTATTAATAATGATAAACTAAGTGCATTCTCATTATCTGTAGAATATGGGCAGCTCCTTCAGTGAGTCGTTACATCATTAACTTCCATCACTGACCACAGACAGCCGATACAAAATGGCTGCAACGGTGTTTCGTTTTGCCAACGTGATGTTATTGAATTGTACTAGTACCATGTATTCAGAACAATAACGTTAGTGTCTTGAATAAAGTGTTTTGCAAATCTAGAATAAAGTCTCCACAGATAGAAAATTGTTTTAAACAGTTGCTTCGTAATCATTTTTCCAATAAAAGAATCATCAACAGCCTTTTTTCAGCTGTCTACAATGCACCCGCATCTTATTTGAATCCATGTGAAATATTTGAAGAGAGATTGCGGTCAACATTGGAGAATGCTATACTGTGATTTCAGAAGATGCTTAACATATGAAATATGTTTATATAAATAACAAATCGCCACTTTCTTTTCCGTAAATTTCCTTCTTTTACTCTTAACCTCATTGATATGTACCAAACTTTCCCTGCAATTCTTGTTAAGCAGATTGTGAATGCTCGAAAGAAACAAAAAAAAAAAAATAAGTTCAAATATTCCCTATACAAATTGTTCCTCTTAATATCGATAGCAGGAAGTCATCCTTTTTCCCACGGATTTGCTTCCTTGTCCACAGATGACATATCTTCTGAATATGTCACTTTTAACTGTATCGGGAACATAACATCAAAAAATCTTTATTGGTTTAAAACAACCAACATTACCTAAAAAGTGCATTGAAATTAAACAGGAGGACCCCAAATAAAAGAAGAAAGATCGATTAAAAAGAGTTTGTCCTTCATCGAGATTCCGTCATCACCAGATTTGGATAGACTACCCTCCAAGTGGCAATATCATACTCCTACGGGATAAGTCCGCCTGCAATTGTATGAATCCCTTCAAAGAACCCAGTTTCAGGTATTTAATTCGCGATCACTTGTAAACTCTCACGTTTAGTACCCGCTAAGACAAACAAATTAACCTATAGAGTATAATGTACGGATGTGTCGGGCCCCGTCCCTCACCACCCGGCAGCCCCATTGTGGGCCTGGCCGAACCCATAATGGGCTTGCAAAAAGAGGACCTCTTAGTGCCCACAGGGCGGAAGGAGTTAAAAAGATAAAAAAAACTCCACTGTCACAACTCTGATTATGAAACACTGTTATAAAACTGGCCGTTATTTTTACGGTTTCACGCATGAAATCGAATTTATAATTTGAAAACTGTTCGAAAATATCGAACGATATTCAAATGAATCGAAGAAAATCGTTTCGGACGGTTAAAGATGAATCCTTTTAAATTTTTCTTACAAATTTGGGTTATTTTTTCTTATAAATTTCATATTTCAGACTCAAAACTACCAATGGCTATTAATATCAGTTCCTACTCTTACGTTGACTTTAAACTTGTAAATTATTCAAATATAATTTTTCCAGCTTTCGGCACAACTTTAAACTTCAAAATAGAGCCTGATTTATCACGAGTATTCTTGACTACTAAAGTATTTGTTTACGAAGACAACAAAATCAAGAAGTTCTATGTAAAAAACTTCATCCCACACGAACGCATAATTTTTAAAGGATATCTTGAAGGTACAAATAATTCCAAAATAACAGGATATTACTTACGCGACAGATTTGCTGCAAGAATCGTTATTGACCACAGAGTCTACTATATAGAGATCGCCTCTCCTTATGTTCCTGGATCATTTGCCGATGTTGGAATCTTCTATAGTCTCGCTGATGTCAATGAACTTAAGCAAACTGAATACGTAAGTTGCAAAGTATTAAATACAGAATATGAGAAAAGTTATAATCACTTAGCATTCTCTGATGACAACTACAGCAAACTACAAAACACTGCTCCTCAAAGGTAAGAATTAAATATTTTCTTATGTATATTTAAATATTAAAGGCTATCAGTTGAAAATATATAGAGTTATTACAATAGAATTTTCGATAAAATTTTATTATTAGATTGAGAGAGGCAATGCAAATAATATTTTTAAATATATAATTTATAAAAAATACTAGATATTTAATGCAAATAATTAATGATTGTTATGTTAGAATTGATAACTGTAATTATTGCAGAAGTAGTAGAATATGCACCTTAGAAATACTGGTTGATCACACATATTTTCAATACATGAAATCTGATAAGCAATCTGTGCTACTGGAAGTTCTACACCTTATAAACATCGCCAATTCGATATTCAAAGAATCAGACGTTGACGGAAGTGGAAAATCGGACGTTATAGAATTCCTAATCGACCAAATAACGATATTCGAAGAGAGAATTCAAATAGCGTATCCATATTCAGACCAGAGCAGTGACAGTCCAGGATTTATACAAAAGTTAAAGCAATACAAAAGTCCTTATTGTCTGTTGATTTATTTCACTCATAAAGATTTCGACAAAAGAAAACTTTGCACCAATTTCAAACTCGGTAGAATATGCCCTAATTATGAATCAAAAAGAAGAGCACACAACGTCCTATTTGTTACAAATGTCGTTAAAGGAAGAGAAATTCCACGATACAGAATGGCATTGACGTTGTTACATCATCTGGGACACGCATTCGGATGCAAACACGATCCTGTAAATGGTTCTGTGTGCACATCTTCACAGGTTTATACGAATGATAGTAAATACATTATGGAACCTGAATACACAAGCGGAGCACATATTAACAATTGGAAATTTTCAATCTGTTGTCTGAAATCGATGAAAAAATTTATTAAACGCAAAGGTAGGATTACATAGAACATAAATTTTCCTGATATTGTTGATTACATTCTGATCAATCTTTTTTTAAAAAAAAAAACAGAGTCGTGTTTGAAAAAGGTATTTAAATCTTCGTGTGAAAACGGCGTTGTCGAAAAAGGTGAAAGCTGCGACTGTAATCCTGCAGAAAAAACGTGTACAAATACAAGTTTATGCTGTCACAATAAACATCACCCTATGAGATGTACACTTAAGACAGGAGCGTACTGCACATTTGGAACAGATGAATGCTGTAATTATAAATGTGCAAAAGTTCCTTTTAAGGAATACAAGCCTTGTTTCAGTAACAAACCTTGTTGGAACGTTAGCAGTATTTGTGACGGATATTCTCCATTCTGTCCTGCACAAATGCAACCCGATGGTATATCGTGTCTAAATAACAGAGGGATCTGTATAAAAGGTAAGTGCGATACCGACATTTGCAAAGTAAAAGGTCTACAGTCTTGTCAATGTTCTTCTCGTCACACCGAGTGTTATGTCTGTTGCAAAAATAAATCGAGTGAGTGTCTACCAGCAACATCATTCGAAATCTTCACTCCGACTTCTGATCCGTATGTCAAGAAAAATGATACTTCTTGCGACAACAATTACGGATTGTGTTTAAGGTAAATCTATTTATAATTTGTATTTAAGTCCCCGAAATAATTATTTTTTTATTTTTTAGTAATGGAACTTGCAAAAGAAAAGATATCTTCATAAGACATTCATTGGCGGAGTATTTATATGTGTTACCTTTTGTTGGAATTATACTGATTGCTATTGGATGTTTTGTATCACAGCAAGAGAAACGGCCGAGTATTGTCGATCTTGCTAGGAGACACAAGAATAAGAAAAGATCCCGCCGCAGAAGAAAGCAGAAAAGGAATAATACGTAGCTTTGATTATTTAGTGCTATAAATAACGTTTGATTATATCGTTTATATCGAACTTTGGAATTTAATAAGTACTAACTTGTATATTTCGGATTGAAAGTTATTAAAACCTTTACCATGTGAACACACATTTTATCTTTTCACTGTTATTATCTTCTATTTTTAAATTATTGAATTAAATAAATAGATATAAATTATGGCAACGATATACCAATGAAAATGTTGATATAATATTCATGTCGAATGAAATATCGTTTTGTAGATTAAATATTTTACGTGAGTTTGAATGTGCCGATTTCCTCTGTTATGTAAAACCTAAATAAGTTACTCAATCATATTTAATATCGCGTAGAAATCTTTTCGGTTTTATTAACGAATAGCATCTATAAGTTAAATACTAGCTGTGTAAAAAAGAGTGTCAACATTGTTAGGGGAGATCGGGGCAACTTCGGCATGCGGGGCAAGTTTGTCAAGCGCTTTTTTTAAAAAACAAATTAAAAGGAGACTTTGGTTATAGGTTAGGCAGTTGAGTTTTATTGGTGGCTTGTTGAGTGTAGTGTTTTTATTGTTCTCCAACAAGCGTAGTTGAATTATCAAGCAAATTTTCATTTTCGTTCAATTCCATATAATATTTTTTTTCCATTTATATTGAATTGGCAGGTTTTGTTATAATTCCATGATAACGAAAGTTACTTTTCCTGTTAGAAGGATGTAACTTCAACTTATTCACGTGGCCAGATCGTGGCTTGGCATTCTGTTCTCAGGGTTGTACTTAATGTTTCGAAATCATGACTAGCGGGGTAAGATCGGCAACATAAAGCCACATTAGAAGCAAAGGATAAAAATCAAACAGATGATAAATGAAAACATGTTTGCATTTGTTATTCATGTATATATGTCTTTGAACTTGCATTTCGTTGTAATAATATTAAATGGGTGTTGGATTTGTATTTCTTTGTTTTAATAGTGAATTCCAACTTATACATTGTTAATAACATAATTTTATATACGTGCCTATCTTGCCCCATTACTGTTGCCCCTATACCAGGGGCAACTTTAATAAAAATAATTAAAATAATTACAACTTTACAAAAAGAGAGAAGTTGCCGATCTTGCCCCTATACCCGGGGCAACTTCGTCAATTTCTCTCTTCTTGTAAAGTTGTAATTATTTTAATTATTTTTATTTCCAAACTGATTTTAACCAGTTCTATAGTAAGGTAACATTCCAATAGACAATATGCAAAGCTTTTTTTTCAGTTTACAGCAGTATTTATTACACAAAATTTAAGTAAAGCTTAACATGCCGATCTTGCCCCGATCTCCCCTATATGATTATTAATACATAATTTAAAATGAACAAAATCTGCATACATGAAGTAGTTAGCTGTTTACTGTCAGAGTTTGTGATATTTGCTGTATCTTTCATTATAGAATAAACATGTTTTATCTCGCTTTATGCTTTCATGAAAATATCGTTTAGAAAAGACATTATCATCTTTGGAAATGATGTCTGTTTAGTTAAGTTTAAAAAAATGGCTATCGTTATGTAATAAGAAGTCTTGTTAGAAAAATATTCTAGATTTTAGTAATAAATTCGGAAATAAAATATCGTTTACAACAAAACATTTAATTCTAGTGTAAAGTAGTAAAATTTTAAATTTTTCTTGAAAATTTTACAATTTTCAACATCTTATCTCAATTATTCTAATTAAATGTTCTATTGTAATTAGAAGGGAACGTTTAAAATAAATAGTTAAAATTCTAAACTTCATTAGCTAATAACTGTTTGAACCCGGATGCAAAAGAAGGAGGGTTGGGTACCCGTCTCTATAAAATTTATGATTGGTATGGAAACAGCAAGAATATGCAAAACTTCTGATCGAATGAGCGGAACTTTGGCTCCAAGTAATATCACGGCGTCAGAGAAAACTGACAACGGTGTCCGATGTTGAAAAAAATCTTTTCCTCGAGAAATATTACGAAAATTGGAACGTGCAATGTACATATTCGGTATCAGAGTGGAAGATTCGCTCAGCTATTTAGGACATATGATGAAAACCGGTTGGGCATCCTTGGCGTCAGTGAGGTTAGATGGACGTCAAACGGTCGAATCAATAGTGATGGAAGACCATTCTGTATGCGGGATATGAAGAGCGGCACAAATGTGGAGAAAGGTCTTATTCTGAGTGAACGAGTGACGAAAGAACTACTTGGATGGGGACCCTTCAGTGATCAGCTCGCTTTACCTATGGACACGACAAAGCGACTGTTGTGCAGGTTTATGCGCCAACTAACGATGCGAAGGATACAATAAAAGATGAATTTTTGAGGAGTTCCCAGATGTCTTTGATTAGTATCCTAAATCATGACCTGAGGGTCCTGATCGAAGCCTTCAATGCCCAATTTGGCGGTGATCGTCGAAGGTTCGAGACTGCGATTGGTGGCCATTTCTCCTCTGCTCATATAACTGATAATGGAGAAAGGCTAAAATCGTTTTGCGAACGCGACATGTTATGTGTTGTGAACACCTACTTCCAGCATCGGCTTATCCATAAGAAAAATTGGACGTCAACAGATGAGCGCACTTGTAATGAGATAGACTTTATTTGTATTGGTAAATGTGGAGGTCATTATTGCGCGATGTGAAGGTTTACAGAAGTGCAGATATTGCATATGACCAATACCTAGTTAGGGCGGATATTAAACTCAAACTTCGTAATCAAAAGCAACTCACGCTAAAAAGACAGTTTGCGATAGAAAAAATAAATGATCCTACCATCGCCGAAACATTTACTCTGGAGTTGCACAATCGCTTTGCCCTTCTTGGAGAGATGACAGATATAGAATATCTCTGGGGGAACCTCAGAGACATTACTACAGAGTGCACCCAAATCATCATTGGAAGACGTCGAGGAAGACAGAAGGATCAGTGCATCGAAGTGGATGTTGATTTATGAGAGGAAAGATACAAAACGTAAAAGAAACCAGGCTAAAACAATGGCTGAGATGGAGAAAGAAAGCCAAAGATACATCGAGTTCGATAGACATGTAAAGAAAAGCTGTCGAAAAGACAAGAAGTAATAGAACGAAAGGGCACTGAAGCACAAGAGGCTTCCGACCGGAATGACTCGAAGACCTTGTACCGCATAGTCAATGAACTGACTGGTTTAAACTAGTATTTCTAGCATTTCAATAAAAGACAAAAACGGGAAGCTTCTGATCGTTCAAGATGAGCAGAACAACAGGTGGATGGAAGATTTTCGAAAAACATTTGATCAAGCGGAACCGACCACATGTATTATTTTGATATTGAGGATACATAGGATGAGCTTCAGGTTGACACTACGATATTACTGCGAAGTGGAGTTTGCGATTAAGAGCTTAAAGAATAGTAGGGCACCCAGTTTGGACAAAATTACGGCTGAGATTTTGAAGCATGGAGGACAGCCCATGTTAAAAAAGCTAACGTTCTTGTTTAATAGGTATGTGCTGGCAATGTGGGGAGGTAGCAGAAGATTGGATATGGGCGCTATAGTCAGAATTCCTAAGAGAGAAAATATCTTCGAGTGTACCAACTAACGAGGTATCACCCTCCTTTCCTGTGCCTGGAAAGCATTTTGTGTGATCCCCCTTCGACGCCTGCGGATTGCCGTCGATCAGCGCTTGCGGGAGGAGCAAGCCGGGTTTTGTTGCGACAATGTGCTGAGTATTGACACCCATTGACCGTCAATCTCATTGATTTTAAGAAGGCTTTCGACAGTGTTCACCGCGAGTCCCTCTGGAGGATCCTGCGATTATATGGTGTACCGACAAACTTCGTCATCATTTTCAAGGCCTTATACCTGCATTCGAGATGTTTGCATCAAGACTGAAGATGATCATATGGATTTCTTTGAAATTACGACAGGAGTCAAGCAGGGTTGTGTCCTGTCCCCTTATCTCTTCCTCATTGCCCTTGATTATATCATGCGGTAGTCAGTGGGGCCGGCGTCAATTGGTCCATTGGTTTGACCATGACCGTCTTGGAGATTTGATTTTTACTGACGATATCTCTCTATTACAGGAAAGCGAGACAATGCTACAACATGTCACAGCCACATTGTGTCGGGAAGCACACAAAATTGGCCTCAGGATAAACGCCGTGAAGTCGAAAATTATGCATGTATGTAACACTGCCCGAACGTGGGAAGTAATTGCTGGAGCACAACGATTGGAGGAGATGGAGTGATTTACCTATTTTAGTAGTGTTATTTTCCAAAATGCTGACGAGCAAATGGACGTGAAGTGCCACATCGTAAAAGTGGCAACAGTCTTTTAGCGGATGAACAAAATCTGGTTTTCACTGTCTATCTCATTGAGAATTAAATTCCACCTGTTTACCTCCATCGTGATTCCGATAGCGGTTTATGCTAGTGAGTCTTGGAAGACATCGAGAAACACCAATAGAAAGCTCGATTAGGCCAAGATCATCGCATAGACAAATGAGACAAATGTCTAGGGCTGAGTCAAATTGTCTATTTTGAAAAGATTTGTAAATAAGATAGTTTACTTTACTGTTGGACGACTGTATACAATAAACAAAAAACAAAAATATATTGCTTATTATGCGGTTATTGTGAATTCTAAAATTTAAAGAAAATGCATTCTTATGTGTATTTATTATTGTATATTAAATATTTTTTATTAATAGAAATTTAAGATTTGTTTTAGTTTTACATATTACTTAGTTTTGTTTTATTTATTGTCTTATATTTTTTGTGTGCTCTATATCTTGTGGGAGAGAGGAGATGCCCGGTAAGAAGAAAATGTCTAGGCTCCAAAGTGGGTTAATTAATATAGCTCTGGGCTCGATGTCTTCCAACAGAGATGCCTATGACGAATCTTAAAGATCCGATATTTAGAGCATATCACCAATGAAGAGGTTCTCTGAAAAAGTAGGATGTGAAAACTTTATACCATTGCTGCCCGAAGAATATTATTTTCCTACTGGCCGGCCACATTTTTCGTATGGAAAACATTAGGATTCCTAAGACAGCCATGAAATGGGTTTCTCCTGGTGCTAAACGACCACGAGGACGCCCCAGTAATATTTGGCGTAGAACTTTCCTTCAAGATTTGAAGATGCTCAATATGACTTGCGAGGAAGCTGAAGCCCTCGCCCATGATCGAAATCAACGGCGGTTAACTGCTGCCTGGTATTCTAACTACTACTACTACTACTACTATCTCAATTATTAGAGAAAAGCTGTTGTTCATAATGCCAAGATGGTATGTAGAAACAAATCTGTAAACTGTTTTTCTAGTTTGTTACATACAGTAATTATAACCTTTATACCTTTTTCTAATAGAAGGTCAAGGAAGTGTTACTTGAACATGTGAGTTACATCTTAAAATTTTCCTTGTATTTACACTGAAAATATTAACATCAGA